CCAGAGGAGCCCCGCAAACTCAGAGGAGCCCCACAAACCCAGAGGAGCCCCGCAAACCCAGACGAGCCCCGCAAACCCAGATGAGCCCCGCAAACCCAGCCGAGCCCCCAAACCCAGCCGAGCCCCCAAACCCAGAGGAGCCCCCAAACCCAGAGGAGCCGGACAGAATCCCCGTGTGCCTAGTCTCCCTACTTCCTGTCTGATGTGCTGCCGTGAGCATATGTCACGTGTGTAATCAGGACAGTGGGCGGCCCCCCGTGAATTAAACAGCAGGACACACGGGTTAGCAGCTGCCACCCTGGGGAGCAGGAGTTCGGGGATATTTACATTCTTGGTATTTTTACGTTTCTCAAGTGTTCTGTAATGAGCATAGATTATTGTTAAATCAGGAGGAAATGTAACGCTTGTACTAAAGACAGAAAGATAAACATTAGGCGACTGGGAGGACATTTACATACATATTTGGGGGGGGAGGGGGACACCCTGTATCTCTCAATCTCGATCTCTGTCTCTCTCTGTCTCTCTCTGTCTCTCTCTCTCTCTCTCTCTGTCTCTATCTCTGTCTCTATCTCCATCTCTATCTCTCTGTGTCTCTCTCTCTCCATCTCCATCTCCCTCTCATCTGTTTATAGGATGTACCTTTGGTTGTGGGATTGTAAGTCATAGTTTGCTTTGAACTTTCTCTTCCCTTCAGCTTCCAGAGTCACTAAATCAATAACTGAGGCTGAACGCCCTGCGGCGAGTGAGCCGGGCCGCGCCGGCACCGACATCAGAAACGCGCCTCCGCTGCCCGCATTCCCCGCTTCTCTCTCATTTGGCTGCTTGGCTTTCCCTCTGGACGGGCCTGGCCAATGGGGAGTTGTCACAAGGACATAGGAGCCAGTTTTAATGGGTTCCCACTGGCAAATTTGAGACAATTTGCTATATAAAAAAAGAATAATGATTAAAAGTGCTTATCGCCGGGTTCTGCGACGGGTCCACGCCGCCCTGGCACAGGTTGGCCACGACCTTCCGGTACCTGCGGTCAGAGGGCGGGTGAGGTCTGTAGACAGGGACGCAGGGACCAGCTTGTCACCGGGTGGTTCTTGGCTACAACCTCCATTCACCATCAGGCCCCTCCTGCCTCCACCTGCCTGTGACCTCTGCGCCCTTTAGAGGGGGAAACTGAGGCCCGAGGAGGGTGAGCACCCAATGGTCACAATGCGATGTTTGGGCCCGAGCGGCAGGCTCACGGCCTCTACGCACAGACAGTGCCGATGCCGCCAACCCTCCAACCGCCACAGCCGCCTCCGGCCGAGGAGGAGCAGCCATGCGCATCCCCGCCGGGCACCTGGCCCTCACCCACAGCTGGCGTCCGTCACCCCACAGCCGAGGGACACCGCCTCTGTGTGGTGAGCTCACAGCCGGGGTGATGGCAGCACCCGGACCTGTGCCGTGACAGGTAAGCTCGTGCCCACGCAGGTGGTCAGGGAAGGCTTCCCGGAGGAGGTGCCATTCAAGCTGAGACCTAAAGGCACCGAGAGCGCCTCCTGCTCCGCTCGGAGCTGCCTCACTTGCGCAGGTAAATGGGGAGGTCCTGGCACCACAGGGGCTCGGAGACCAGGAGGGGGTGTTCCCTCCCTTGGGCTCGGCCCCTGCAGCAGCGTGAGCTGCGGGCACCTCGGACCTTCTCTCCTGTCATCTTTGTTCAGAGCCAGCTCAGCGCACGCTACTCCCTGGTGCCGGCCCATGTGGGCTCCGACGAGGAGCTCCAGCACCGGACATCTCAGCCCCGACTTCTCTTTCCGACTCCACACGGGGCTGTGGGCGCCGGGCAGGAAGGCAGCTGGGGCTCCCCCGGTTCTGCCCGGAGCCGGACCAGGAGGCCGCATGCACTCACCCGAGGCTGCTGGTGTAGGTCTGGCCTTGGACACAGTCGTCAGGGGGCGCCAGGGGGTTGAACCAGAAGTTGGCAAAGCACTTGTTGGTGTCAGAGAGGGAGCGCTCAAAGCCATAGTCGCTGGAGGAAGAAAGAACTTCCATCAGGAGGTGGGGGGGGGGGGTGTAGTCACAGAGGTGCATCCACAGGGCCCTGCACCAGCAGGGAGACCGGCCTGAACGCCTCTAACAGCTCCAGGTGAGAGGGGATGCCAAGGGGATTCTGGGAACTCACAGGAGGGCACTGAGCCCAGCCTGGGTGTCCTGGAGGGCTGCCTGGAGGTGGTGTGCTGAACCTCTTAGGAAGAGCAGGAGACAGCCAGGGGATGAGAGGTGAGGGGCTCTGCAGGGGGCACCAACCCCCCCAACACTGGTGCAGGGGGATACAGGAGGCGGCGGCTGGAGTGTGAGGGACAGGATGGCAGGGGTGAGGATGGCTGGAAGGCCGGCGGGTGGGCAGAGGCCTCGTGAGCTGGGTTCCGGAACCCGGACATTGTCCTGGGGGCAGTGGGCACCACCGGAGAGGGGAGCAGGGCAGAGGGTGCAGCAGGTCCTGGCTCCTCCCCCGCAGAAGGCTGCCTGCAGTGGCTCCACACCCCGGCTGGACGTCCCTACCCCTTCCTGGCTGCGGGCGGCCGGGCAGAACCCTCACCAGAGGAAGTCGGAGTCCTGGCAGGGGCACACTCGGGCCGTGAGCGCCGACGTGAAGTTCCTCCCGTTGACGCACCACGACATGGCCTTCCTCCTCCGGAAGCTCCTGCGCTGGCCCATGAGGCAGCCGTCGCCCTGCAGCGGCAGCGTGGGGCGGGGTTGGATCCCTTTCACAGGTGGGGAAACTGAGGCCCGGGAGGGAAGGGGCGTGTCTGAAGGCGAGCCGGGCAGCCTCCCCGCCCGCCCACGGCACATGTGACAGAGGTAAGCTCAGAGCCCAGAGCCAGCAGTCAGGGCAGGCTTCCCGGAGGAAGTGCCATTCAAGCTGGAGGGGACACGGGGCTGCTGGAAACAGGCGGGGCCCCGTTAAGTTCCTCAGGCCCCAGGGGTGCAGACCCTGTGCGGGCGCTGGAGCCAGCCAGGGCCTGGAGGGCTCATGTGGACAC